CACGCCAACGAACCAAGAAGTCGATGAAAGTGACACCCCCCTGGAGACGGCGACGGTGCCTGAGGATGCGCTGGATCTGGTAGTCGGGCTCGTCGGTGTCAACAGCTACCGGCAGTGGAGTGCGATCACGGCCCGAGAAGGTGGCATTGGGATCGGTGTATGGGCGAAGGAGAGACACGTGGAATGACGGGTGCATGCGGAAATGTGCGGGAAGGCAAAGGCGGTATGCGACTGGACCTAGTGCGCGCTCAATGGCGAATGGACCAATGAAACGTGGACGAAGCTTGCTGTCCTGTGGCAGTCGGAGGTTGCGGCTATCCAAGAGAACACGGTCGCCGACTGCGAACGACACCTCACGACGACTGCGGTTGGTGGTGCGTGCCATGCGTGCATTTGCGAGCTCAAGGTGCTTCCTCACGTGATCATGAATGAAGGTGAGATGCTGGTGGAAGTTGTCCGCACGAGGGACTGTGGGTGTGAGATCGACACGAGTGGGGACATTGGGGTGCTGACCGTAAAGTGCAAAGAACGGTGACATGCCTGTGGCGGAGTGGTGCGTGTTGTTGTAGGCGAACTCTGCCATGCTCAGCTTCTTGTCCCATGCGGCTGCGTCGTGCATCGTGATGCTGCGAAGGATCTGCTCCAAGGTCTGGTTCACACGCTCGGTCTGTCCGTCTGTCTCTGGGTGGTACGCAGACGACATGGCTAAGCGAGTCCCAAACAGTGCGAAAAGCTGCTTCCAGAACTTCGAAGTGAAACGAGGGTCGCGGTCTGAGATGATGGAATCTGGAACCCCGTGCAGTCGGACTACGTTATCTACGAACAGCGTCGCGGCTTCCTCTGCTGTGACCTTGCCGTGCGTGGGGATGAAATGCGCTGCTCGAGAAAACTTATCCACTACTACGAAGATGGCGTCGTGACCCCTAACTGTGCGCGGTAAAGCCATGATGAAGTCCATGGTAACTCCCTGCCAAGGGCGGTCGGGCGGTGGGATCGGCTGCAAGAGTCCTGCTTTGCGCTGGCGAGAGGACTTCGTACGCTGACACGTGTCGCACGAGCGAATGTAATCCTCTACGTCTGCTGCAAGCCCGGGCCAGTAGTACGTGCGACTAAGCGTCTTAGCCGTCTTATCTGCTCCGAAGTGCCCTGCACTAACTACGTCGTGCGCCTCTGAGAGAAGGAGCTGTCGAAGAGGGCGGTAGGCTGGAACCCAAATCCGTGTGGTACCCTTCCGTATGTAGACACTACCCTGCACCTCTGCTCCTGCGGGCGGCTGCGGTGTGAAGTCGGGATCTACTGTGTAACCGTGCTCGAAGAGTGCTGTGAGAAGTGGGTGGCCAGCAGTGACTGTGAGACTGGCGAGCTGACAACTAGGGCGAGTGAGCGGATCTGCTGGGTTGCGCACGCCTGGCTTGTACTCTATCCTGTAGTGAAAGCTCCCTTCCATGAACTCCATCCACCTAGCCTGGCGACGACTCAGCTGCGGCTGCGACTTGAGGAAACGAAGCTGAACAGTGGTCCGTGCGTATAACACTATCTGCCCCCTCTAGGTAGCACCTCCACACCGTATACGCATGGATGATCGCGAGCGCCTCCTTGTCGTGTATGGGATAGTTCAACTCCGCTCCCCTAAGCTTACACGACTCGTACGCGATCGGCTGCAACCCGCGTCCCTGGTCCTGAAGAAGCACTGCTCCTATGGCCTGATCGGAAGCGTCGGTCACTACAACGTATGGGCGAGTGGGATCAGGGTACGACAGTGTCGGTGAAGACGTGAGCGACTGCTTCATCTGCTCGAACGCCTGCTGCTGCGCTGGACCCCAAACGTACTCTACGCCCTTCCGAAGTAGGTCGGTGAGTGGACTAGCGATCGATGCGTAACCCTGAACGAAACGACGGTAGTAGTTCGCGAAACCGAGGAAGCTCTGCAACTCCTTGACTGAGGTCGGTGCTACCCAATCCTGTACTGCTGCGATCTTCTTCGGGTCAGTCCTAATGCCACTAGCGGATACGACGTGTCCTAGGAACTCGACCTCTGGAAGGAAGAACTCGCACTTCGACTGCTTAGCGTATAACTGCTCCCTCCGTAAGACCTCGAAGACCTTCTGCAAGTGCTGCACGTGCTCATCTTTCGTCTTAGAGAACACTAGGATGTCGTCTAGGTAAACGACAACGAACGACCCTAGGAACTCGGAGAGGACTGTGTTCATGAGCGTCTGAAACGTCGCTGGGGCGTTGGTCAATCCGAACGGTAGAACCCTAAACTCGTACAACCCCTGCTTCGTACGAAACGCCGTCTTGTGCTGGTCCTCTGGAACTACTCGAATCTGGTGGTAACCCGAACGAAGGTCGATCTTTGAGAAGACTCTAGCGCCCTGCACTGCATCGAGAAGATCCTCTACTCTCGGCACCGGGAATCTATTCTTGACGGTGGCGGCGTTCAGTGCGCGGTAATCTATGCACATCCGTAACCCTCCGTCTTTCTTGGGTGCGAAAAGTATCGGTGCGGCCCAAGGCGATCTAGATGGCTGTATGAAACCCTGTGCGAGAAAGTGCCTAACTTGCTGCGTCATCTCCTCTGTCTCCGCTGGACTCAACCTCCACTGCGGCTTCGCTACTGGCCTGCTCCCCGGCTCCAATTCTATTCGATGGTCTACTGCTCGGCTGGGAGGCAACCCTGGGGGCAACTCGTCGGGGAAGACGTCTGCGAACTCTGCTAACAGTGCACTCACCTCAGCAGGAAGAGTCGCCTTCTCACTAACTGCTGCACTCCCTCCTTTCCCCTCCTCAGCTTCCACCTCCTCAAGAAAAACCGCGAAGATCCGTGCCGCACGCTTCACTAACTGTCGCACACGAACAGCATTAATGATAGCTGTGGATGATGTGGCCCCATCGCTCCACTGTGGCAGCTCCCGGAACTCCCCGTCTACCTTGACGCTGCAGTTTCCCTGAGCCCAATCGAACTGAGTACTAACCGTCCGTAGCCAATCTCTCCCGAAGATAAAATCGTATCCGTCCAGCGTCGCAGAGTCGAAATCACGCCTGACTGTGATCGGTCCTAGCACTACGCGCAACTTGCGGATGATCGGTCCTATGTGAAGTGGCGTCCCATCTACCATGCGAGCGTCCTTGAAGTTGACTGCTGAATCTGCTTCGAGATGGAGACGAGAAACTAACGATGAAGAGACGAACGAGTGGCTAGCTCCGCTATCTACGAGAATCTTAACAGGAACTCCGCGAAGCTTCCCTAGAAGCACGACTGGACGATCAACAGTGTCTATCTCGTTCTCCGTAGATGACTGCTGCAAAGCCGTCTCCTCTACGTTGGTAGACGTGGCGGGTACGGGAACCTCCACACCAGCTAGCGACCCGCTATCTACTGGCGGTTTCCGTTTCCCTGCTGCCGCTCCTTAAGCTGTGGGCAGTCTCGCTTCATGTGTCCCGGCTTTTTGCAGTAGTGACAGTTCCCCCTAAATCCCATTTTCTGTGAGCCGTCACTGTTAACTGCACCAATCTCCATGGGCGATGGTCCGTCCCTCGATCGAGCGTCGTTGATCGGTCTGTTGTATCCCCTATCGCGATCGTCACGACCCCGTCGGCTTCGTACTGCGTCGACGCGTTCTGCTGCTGCGACTACCGACTCGAAGGTGGACAACCCGTGAATCGCAATGACTTCGGCTATGTCCGGCTTCAACCCCTCGAGGTAGCGATCGCGCATTCTGCTTCCGTGATATCGTCTATCTCGTTGCAGATGCTCAAGAACCGTCGTGTGTACTCCTGGACGTTGCCTATCTGTCGGAAATGACGCAGACGCTTCCTAGCAGCTTCGGAGGCGTTCACCAAATCGAACCTACTTTTCAGCGCCGCTTCAAATCCTTCCCATGTGGTCGGAACCGTGGTAACACCCAAAGCTAAACTCCCTAAGATCGAAGTTGCAGCTGCATGCCCCACGCCCTGTTGATGCCCGTCCGTCTGAGCCCTTCTTACAACAGTTTGAGTGAGTTGGCGCCACCACTCCAAGGCCGGGCCCCTCAGCAGTGTAACAGCGTACTCGATCCGCTGCTGCGCGTCCGCCTCTTGCACCCCGCTCGCGGCGAAGTAGTTGTTCAGCATGAAGAGCCACGTCCGCACGTTCGCGTCGCGTTGACTTGGGTCGAACGACTCGGGTTTCTGCGGCTTGAGTGCGCTTCGACGTTCCGGCAGCGCTTCCGCGCCAGTCGATGTGTTGGGCGCAAGAGTTGGCGTGGCATGACCATGGGGGTTAGAAGCCAATTCACGAAGCTGTTGCATTTCAGCTCGTACCTGACGATTTTCCAGCGTCAACTCTTGAAGTTGGCGCATGAGTTCGGCAAGCGTGTTGCCCATGTCGTGGGGGACTGCGTGCATGGTTTCGTCCATGTTCGCTCAACGACTCCAAGTCTGCAAGTCGGCACCGCGGGACGATGACGTCGTAGTCTCGTCGTCGACGGTCGCTCGTTGGAAGTCGCTCCCCGCGAAGGCTCTGATACCAAGTGTTAGGCCCGACGGCCTAAGTCCGCTAAAGAACTAGCGGGGTCGACTAAGTCGAGGATGAAACGCGGCGGAAGACTTTGGCGAAAGAACTATTGGCGAAATAGGCGAAGAAGTTACTGAGTAATTGAAGAAGAGTTGAATGAGAATTGATTGATAATGGCAAGTACAAGCAAGGTTTATATAGCATGCAAGAAACAAGGTTGGAAAGTGGAATGTGGGACCAAGAATTGGAGTGCAAGAAAAGTAGAGTGCCACGTGGCACTAGAGAATCTGAGAAGATAAGGATAATGGTGACTAGGAATGTAGTGTTCGGAATGAACAGTAAACACCCCTCTAACAGATTACATGATCGATAAGGGAACATTTGCCATGTGTTATATGATGTGGAATATTATTGGCTGTGCACTGCATCTACGAGTCTCTTCTAAATACGTTAGCACGATATAAAAACAAGGACATACCGTAAATTTTGAAGCAAGTTCTGGTATTTAAAAATACACTGCCATGCCTACATTCTTGACACTGTAGCCACACTTTTTGTAAAAGTCTACATTCTTCTCATCACAATCTAAAATGACCTGAAACGAATTAGTTAAAAAAAAAAAAGGGGGGGGGGGGGGGGGGGGGGGGGGGGGAAGAGGGAGGGGGGGAGGGGAGGGGGGTGGAGGGGGTGGAGGGGTAAGGGGGAGAGAGCAGCATGTGTAAACACTCACGCGGGCTGAAAAAAAAAATCAAACAAACAAAAAAGGGGGAATGAACGGGGATGGCGACCTTATAGGTTACCTTATAGCAACCTTGTTTCTTGGCGATATCGGTGAGCGTTTGGATGATTCTGGTGGGCGGAAATAATGGAAGGGCAAGGACGGAAGGATGCTCCATACAAGGTGTAAGGGGAGGGTGGGAGACGAAGGCAATCTGAACTCCTCATATGAAATGGATGGTGTGGTGCATAGACGAGGGAAATCTGAACAGTGCTGCGTGCGTGTGTGAATGTAGTAGTGTGAGGTTTGTAGTGTTGGGTGTGGGTGTACTACTGATTGTCCTTTAGCCTACACAGAGGTGCGATGGGAGGGCGGGAGCAACTTCTAGTATTAAGTGAACGGTGTGGTGCAGAGACGGCGGAAGTGTAGTATTTCAAGAGTGCATGTGCGGATGCAGTGTTGGGGGTGGGTGTGCTACAGGTGGGTCAATCCGGATGCTACAGATTGACCCTCAGCCTACTCGGAGGTGCAATGGTTGGGAGGGTGGGAGCAACTTTTTTGTAAGAAGTGGATGGTGTGAGAGACTATGCGGACACAGCAAAACTGTTTTTGAGGCACCAAAAAAATCGGAGGTGCGAGGGGCGCAGTGTTTTGAGACGTCTCAAAACACTCTGTGTAAGAAGTGGATGGTGTGAGAGACTATGCGGTCAAAGCAAACCCCCGAGGGGTTTACGGGTGATTCCCCCTCGTACACCCCCCCACCTGTGCCCCAGGTGCTTCCCCCGCATGCTGCTGTGCACCACTATGTCTTCTATGTGCCCCACCTGAGGGGGGAGGGGAGGGGGAATTGGGGAGAGAGAGAATGAGAGAATGCAATCCGGGGGGGAAAAGGAGGGGGCTTCCCCCGCATAACATGCTGCTGTGCACCACTATGTCTTCCATGTGGCCCACCAGAGGGGGGAAGAAGGGGGGGGATGGAGAGAGAGAGAATGGAACCAGGGGGAAGCGAGCATTTGCCTCCCAGGTGCTTCCCCCGCATAACATGCTGCTGTGCACCACTACGTGTATGTCCTCTATGTGACCCACCTGAGGGGGGAGTGGGGATGGGGGAGGGATGGGGGCGGAGGAGGAAGGTTTGCCATGCGTGGGTGGATGCATGCTGCTGTGCACCACTATGGAAATGGGAGCGTTTTTTTGAACGTCTCAAACACACTTTCATTTCACGTGGCGGTTTGCCATGCGTGGGCGGATTGCATGCTGCTGTGCACTGCTATGGCCGTTACGTGCCCCACATGTGGGAGGAAAGGGGGGTTGGATGGGGGGGCGAAGCGAGAGGGATGAAGAAAGGAACGAAGGGTCGTGAGCTCTATTAGCAGAGTGCCTGTGCCCGCCACTCTGCTGCTTAGTTGCGGAAGACGCGCCCGCCTAGACGCAGCGTCTAAGACGCTAGACGTTAGATGAGTCAGATTAGACGCAGTATTAGACGAAAGCCCGGGCAGGCTTAAAAAAGGTTCGGGCAGACCAAAAAAAATCTATGGGCATGGGGAGGGTGGGGACATTCATGTATGTCACAATGGGGTCAATTTTTCCCCATACCATAACTTTTTTCCCCATTCTTAGATTTCTGCAGGAGGAGGGGATCGAAGGAACTAGCTAAACCCTGAGGGTTTTTGAAAGAGATTTGGAAGAAATGAAAGATGGGGAGCACAAATGAGGGATTTGCGCTCCCCAACCTCTTGGTGGTTAGCCATAGAGGTTGGGTTTTCTAGATACCAGGCAGTGAAGTGTGGTTTGTATTCAATTTTGGTTGGGGGGCATTCAAAATTGCTTGGGGGGCTGGTTTATATGGGCTGCGTTCTGCAGGCGCATCAGCTCTGATGCGTCTGAGGCTCGGCCTGATCCGCACATTGAGAAATTGAGGTTCGGAAATTGCGAATTAGAAATTGAGAAATTGAGGTTCAGACATTTGAAATTGAGGTTTGGAAAATCTGACGAAATTGAATTGAGGTCAGGAAATTGGACATTCAATCTCTTGACAGATTAAAAAATTGCGAATGTTACAGGTTTCTTGGAAGCTTCTTCATGGCTGAATTTCGGTTTGGCCAAACTGATTGGCCAATGAGGTTGCAGCGCATCAGCTGATGTGCGCATGGTCCGAGTTGTCGAAGTCGCATGATGCGCGCATCAATGCGCCAGCTTGCTAGGAGAGGAAGCTTCTTGGAAAGCGGACACATTACAAATTTCGTAAGCCAAAAAGGCCGTTTTGCAGGCATTCGGGTTTGTTTTGCTTCGGCAGCCATGCGCTTATCGTGAACCTTGATAACCTGTCGGCAGGTTATCGTGGAAAATTCCTGGAGCCATGGTAGAACGCATCAATGTACATTGATGCGGGCTGATGCGCCTGCAGAACGCAGCCATGGTCAAAATGGGTGGGAAGGGGTTCTAATGGCGCGAAATTGAATTTCACGTCCAAATGGCGAATTTCAATTTCGCCCGCGCGGATTTTTTTTTGGGCTGCCCGAACAATTTTAGCCCAAGCGTCTAGCGTCTAAGGGCGTGTAAAATCCCCGCACACATGCAAAATTTGCTTTTGGCCGGATTTTCGTCGACCATCCGGTCGACATTGCTTTCGCGAAAGTCGCCGGATTGGTCTACTTCGTGTCGTCAATTTTACAGCCACTAATTGCAGATTTGCAGAATTTACAGGTTTGATGGCCAAATTGCAAAAAGTAGTAAAATTTGCAGTTGCTACAGTAGTTGCGAATGGACGATGGAGTCGCACGTTTGGCGGCAAAATTTCTGATTTGACGATATCACAAATTTTGGGGTTATGCGATAATGTGCGACGTCGTACGTGACTGTCGCTCACGGTGTCGACTACTTGGCCGAATTGGAGTCGACATGGTGTCGGATACGTGTCGACTATTCAACCAGCCATCAAATTTCGCATTTTTTCACCAAAATAGACGAACCTCACAATTGTTTCAGCGAACGTCGTCGACCGGTTACTTTCGCCAACAACGGCCCGACGGATTTTCCAAAAATTTGTTGTGGCACGAATTTACACGCCCTAAAGGTGCGTCAAGCGAGCGTCTTCCGCAACTAAGCTCTGCTGTATAAAAAGCACTTTTTGTAGAGTGCCCGTGTTAGTAGAGTGCCTGTGTTAATAGTGTGCCCGTGTTAGTAGAGTACCTGTGTTAATAGAGTGCGCGTGTTAGTAGAGTGCCTGTGTTGTACCTTGCCGCAAGAACGAAGGAACTTGAGTTCTGTTACTAAAGTGCCTGTGCTGTGCCCACCACTCTGCTGTATTGAAATCACTTGTGAGAATCCTCAAAAGCGAGTCCAAGAGTGCAAAGGAGGAAGGGAGAGGAGAGCCACATACTTTGCCGCAGGAACGAAGGACCTTGAGCTCTGTTAATAGAGTGCCTGTCCCCACCACTCTGTTGTTCACCGTGTCTGGCAAGAAAGGAGAGGAAGGAGAGGCAGAAGATGAAGAAGTGAATTTGTTCTCTGGCACCTTAGGGTACAAACTTCTGAGGCGCCTCGAAAGTCCTCGGCTAGTAGAGTGCCCGTGCCCACCACTCTGTTGTGCACCGTGTCTGGCAATAAAGGGGAAGGAGAGGAAGAAAAGGAAGGAGTTAATTTGTTTTGAAACATCTCAAAACACTACTTTCATCACGTGGCAACTCGGTGACTTTTGAGTCGACTCAAAAGTCACCTCGACTCAAAAGTCACCTCTGTTTTGAGACATCTCAAAACACTACTTTTATCACGTGGCAACTCGGTTAGTAGAGTGCCCGTGCCCACCACTCTGTTGTGCACCGTGTCTGGCAATAAAGGGGAAGGAGAGGAAGAAGAGGAGAAGTTTTGAGTCAACTCAAAAGACACCTCTGTTAGGAGCGTGCTTGTGGCCACCACTCATTCAGCTCTGTCAGTAGAGTGCCCGTGCCCACCACTCTGTTGGAACACTGTGTCTGGCAATAAAGGGGAAGGAGAGGAAGAAAAGGAAGGAGTAAACTTGTTCTGTGGCGTCTTAGGGTACAAAGTAGAGGAGAGAGGGAGGAGGGGAGAGGGGAGAGGGGAGAGGCAGAGGAGAGAGAAGAGGAGGCTAATTAGAGAGACGGGGGGGACTCACAGCAGCATGCCAGTAACTGGAGCGCTTTTGAGTCGACTCAAAAGGGACTCACAGCAGCATGCCAGTAACTGGAGCGCTGAGACAGAATGCTTTTGAGACTGCTCAGCTCAAAAGCCCCACAGACTAGAGACTGTGAAACCCCTCACCTTCAGCATTCACTAGCACGCCTCACCTTGAATCACCACGATGCGATAGTCCGAGGAGCGCTGAGACACGATACTTTTGGGACTGCTCAAAAGACTGTGTGTCAGACATGCTGACACACGTTGCTTTTGAGAGTGCTCATAGGACTGTTTGTGAGACAGGACGCATTGACTAGAGAGTGCATGCGAACGCCTCACCTTCAATCACCACGATGCGATAGTCCGAGGAATGCTGAGACAGGATGCTTTTGAGCCTGTTCAGCTCAAAAGCCGCACTGACTAGAGAGTGAAACGCCTCACCTTCAATCACCACGATGCGATAGTCCGAGGAGCGCTGGGACAGGAGGGCGAACCGGTCTGCGGGGCAGAGGGGCGCGTTGACACAACATGCAGTTCAGCATAACCAGAGATCACGACATATTTAGCGGTATTGGCTTTTGAGATGTTTCAAAAGTTCAGCATAACCAGAGATCACGACATATTTAGCAGTATTGGCTTTTGAGATGTTTCAAAAGTTCAGCATAACCAGAGATCACGACATATTTAGCAGTATTGGCTTTTGAGATGTTTCAAAAGTTCAGCATAACCAGAGATCACGACATATTTAGCAGTATTGGCGCATTCATGCATACCTCTTTTTGGCATGATTGGAAGTACGGGTGTGATTAGCATATTTGGCGTGATGTGCGTACCTCTAAATTGCTCCTCTGTTACTGTACCAATGGTTGTTAGTTGTGAGAGGAGCTCCATGTATCCTGTCATGCACATGCCATACACATGCCATGCACATGCCATACACATGCCATGCAGATGCCATGCACATCCCAACACATGCCATACATATGTCAACACGTGGCATACACATGTCATGCACATGCCATGCACATGCCATACACATTGCATGCACATGCCATTCAAATGCCATACATATGCCATACCCACGCCATTCACATGCCATGCACATGCCATGCACATGCCATACACATGCCATGCACATTCCATGCACATGCCATGCACAAATGCCATACAAGTTCCATACACATGCAATCAATGAGCATGCCACGGATAGTTCATGGATGTGAAAGTGCAAGATCTCTCGAGATGGGCTACATGAACGACTGTTAACGACGGGTACAGACGGTTACAAACGGTTACAGATGGTTACACTCGGTTACACTCAGTTCTAGATGGGGTTACGGGAATCGTCAAAACGATGCAGATCAAGTCTGTCCTACGTTTTACCGTCATACATCCAGAATCCAGGCCCAAGCGCACAAAGACACACAAGCACACACCCATCCACACGCACACATACACATATGCGCCTGTCTCTCCCCTCCAACATGCCGTTTCCCCCCAACTCCTCCCCAGCCCCCTCCCCACCCCCAACCCCAAATATATATTCCCACCACCCAACCGCCTGCCGCTACTCACTCACGTGCACGCATCCCTACACACCTTTGCTATAGTCACCCTCGTTTAAGTCACGAAGCACGAGACCTTCCGGGAGGGAAACTTCCGTCGCTGTTTCCTCCGCCTCTCCTCTGGTTTCCTCCTGCGCCGACTCGACCGCCGGTCCCCCCATTGCAACAATAATGCTTCTTCTGTCGCTAGCCAATCCAATACTTTCGCGGCGCTGCAGCAAAGGCTTACGCGTTGCTGAACGAACGGTAACAACTACGGGCGAAACACGCGAAATTTCGCGAAATCTGGTTCGTCCGGAGGCAGAGGAAAAGGCAAACGAGCCTGATCGTCCCAAGACAAGCCTTCGCCTCGCTGGAACAGGTCCCCTTCTTACAATCTCCTCCTTGTAAGCTTGCCCCCCCAATTCCCTTTTAGCTAATAAGTGGGATGCGACGAATACATTTGCTGGAGGAACGACAGCAATCACAACGGGCATGAGAGATTGGCAAGACCAATGGAACACTGTCAATAATGCGAAAATATTCTGCCAGTTCCGTGCTTGAATTGCAAGCACTTTCGTGCTTGAAGCGAAAGGTACCGAAATGCATCGCTCTGTTGCTTTCCCAGTGTAAGGAAAATCACTTTCCTTACTTCGCATCCCTGCTCAACGCGTACATCACTATAGCGCCTCAGTCAGCACCAGGGCTTTTTTGGGTTGCGAAGCAACCTATTACAATCGTTATGTACAATTTTTGTTTTCAATCTTCAATACCTTTAAAAAATAGAGGGAAAAAATCTAGTGAACGGTACTAGCTAAATGACTGACTGCTATGTATCTGCCGCGTCAATTTACCACGTGCTGAACCACATTCTTTCTCATTTCCTAGTTTACTTTGACTGAACCTATATTTCATGAGTTGCCAAAATGATGTACTGTGAATGCATAACTGTTTATTCCGTGATGCATATGTCTGCTGTTGTTATAAGTAGATGAAGTAAATGCAAATGCATAAGTATAATGCATATACGGTACTACCGGTACCGTAATGAAATAAATGCACAGCATGATGGAAGTGCGTAACAGTTAATTGACGCAGACCCTATGCTACCGCATCCCCTGCCTAGCATGGGGGGGAGCTCAATAGCATAATTTCTGAATCATCCAACTGTTACATGAAACAACACAATCTGTGTGATATAAAAAACAGGTCAATTCCATCAAATCCAGTTCGAATGGACACACTCACTGAGTGCGCAAAGAACCTTCTCGGAAATGATAGTTTGATCCCAATTTTTAAACCCCACAGACATGTGTTATCAATGCAATGGAAACATGAATGAAAACGCATACGCACACAACACAACGCATACACATGATCATACACATTCACACGGACACGCACGCACGAAGCCAACTGACAAAGCATATTAACCGCATATGAAATAGAAACCTAAATCACCAAGACATTATGTATCCTATACTGTAAGTCACAAGCAATATCAGTCTACTTCTCATATTGAGCTCGACTGCCTGAAAAGTAAGACAAAGCTGGGTTGAGGAAGGGAAGGCAAATGGGAAATAACAAGGCATAATGAAATTACAAGAAAAAGGAATAATGAAGAAACAAATGAAACAATACAAGGGCCAAGAAAAACGCCATGAGCATTGAAGGGTTAGAGCTGACAAATAACAAGGAGAAAATGTACTAAGGCATAAAACGAAAGTAAAGAACGAGAACAAAGGGAAAAACACATGACCAGACAGTAAACGAACGAAGAGAATATAACAAATACGTTGAGCGAGAACAACGGAGACCGAGAGCGAGAGCGAGAGCGAGAGAGAGAGAGAGAGAGAGAGAGAGAGAGAGAGAGAGAGAGAGAGAGAGAGAGAGAGAGAGAGAGAGAGAGAGAGAGAGAGAGAGAGAGAGGACGAGAGAGCGAGAACGAGAGAGTGGACGAACGAGAGAGAACGAACGAGAGATTTGACAAAAGAGAACGAGAGAACGACAGAGACGGAACGAGAGAGAGAGAGAGAGAGAGAGAGAGAGAGAGAGAGAGAGAGAGAGAGAGAGAGAGAGAGAGAGAGAGAGAGAGAGAGAGAGAGAGAGAGAGAGAGAACGAGAGAGAGAACGAGAGAGAGAACGAGAGAGAGGGAACAAGAGAGAGGGAGAACAAAGAGAGAGAGAGAGAGAGAGAGAGAGAGAGAGAGAGAGAGAGAGAGAGAGAGAGAGAGAGAGAGAAAGAAAGAGAGAGAGAGAGAACGAGAGAGAGAGAGAGAGAGAGAGAGAGAGAGAGAGAGAGAGAGAGAACGAGAGAGAAAGAAAACGAGAGAGAACGAGAAAGAGAACGAGAGAGAGAACGAGAGAGAGAAAACGGGAGAGAGAGAACGGGAGAGAGAGAACGGGAGAGAGAGAACGGGAGAGAGAGAACGGGAGAGAGAGTACGAGCGAGAGAGAACGGGAGAGAGAATGGGAGAGAGAGAACGAGCGAGAGAGAACGGGAGAGAGAGAACGGGAGAGAGAGAACGGGAGAGAGAGAACGGGAGAGAGAGAACGAGCGAGAGAGAACGAAATGGACTGAACATGCAACCTATTACAATCTTTATGTACAACCTAAGACGAGGTTGAGAAAAAAATGAACTAAAACATGCAAATATGAAGAAAAGGCAACCGACGAGAGGAAAAATTTAAGGATGAAGAATAGAAGAAACAGATGCAAGCTTATGCAGGAAGGAGAACCTGAAATCTTTACAAAGGGCCGAGAACCTAAGTTTAAACAACTAAGTCTCGCTAATACTCATCCATTTACACGGCTAGGACACGGAATGACTAAATGTTAGTCTATCTAATAGGCATCTAATTTAGTTGGAGTTAAAGTTGAGGGATCTTCTTACCTAAGTTGCAGTTAGAGTAGGTGGAGAAGTTGGTAGAGCGTGACGAGCGAGGAAAAGCGGGAGAAAAAAAGGGCCGGCAAACCCTAAGGTAGTCTCAGATTCGTCGCATGTTTTTTATTACTGAGTCATTTAGCTGTTCTAGGTAAACATCTGTGCTGTAGCAGTGGTACAAGGCTTGGAATGGAATCGAAAGGTCCTTGGTTCGAATCTCGTTCGCGCTGTACATTTAACCTTTTCCTGGCGAGAGGAAGTACCACTTAGTGTCATATTACAGCATTATGTACAGAATTAGAAGTTGTACAAATTTATATAATTACGCAAAACGCTTCGCAACCCTAAGACGAATTCGTCGCCTCTTGTTTTGGTTTTGGAGCACTCTTGTTTCCAGAGGCGTTTTTGGCGTAACACTTAAATCCAGAGTGGCTGGCGAGCGTTGCTCTTAAATGTCAGTGTAACACGTGCTGTCAATTAAAAAACCCTGTTACTTCAGAGTAACTTTCATCTGTAACCCTGGTGGTTACCCATTGTTTGCTATTGCTGTTGCATTGCCAGAATTATTGATTTTTTAAAACTTTGTACACAATGACCTACTACCACAAGCTCTCTCATCTTAAACCACGTCATCCTCCCGTTCGTCGTCCGAACTGGCCTCTGGCCCGCCCTTGTCATTGGCTGGTTGGAAGGGTGCAGGGGATTTTGTAGGCCGCCTCTTCTTCTGCTTGCCCCAGATGTCCACGACATCTGGCCACTCCACGTTGTCATCGAGCATGTGGATGCTCATGAGTTCGGTGAGCCGCGTGTCGTTGAGAGCCGTGCGCTGCCATGCTCTTGATGATGTTCTGTCGTGAAAATCCACGCTCACATTCGACGGTGCTGAGTGGCAGGACGGCCAACGCCTGCCACAGGGTCATGATGTTGGGGTAAGTTCGCCGCCAGTCGCGTGACCTCAGCATGTTCGTCAGCGCCTGGTAGAAGTCATCGTCCTCGTGGTGCGTCTTCATGACGTGGCAGAAAGTTTTGAGCTCAAGTTCGGCTGCCCGCAGTTCGAATCCTGCCAAAACAGTAAGCGCAGCACAGCGTTTTTTATGTACGGAAATGTTAGGTACACAGTGAGGAGAGGCATTATTTCAGGGAAAGCACACATACACGATCGAAAAGATATACACTTACCTGGCAGCTGGTGGTTGAAGAGTTTAGAGTTCTCGCGGAGCCACGTGGCACAACGTCTCACACGCGTGTCCGGATTCGCTGGCCACTTGTCCACCCTGAAAAGCTTCAAGCCGCCCATTCGACGAAGATCTCGCATGCGGTGCTTCAGGTTGTACACGACCTCGCGAGCGAAGGCCTTGCCCAGCTTCACGCAATCTGCAAGCGTCCCGCCGAACGTGTGCTTCTTGTCCGCCAGCTCGCTGAGCTCGAAGGTGTGCTTGACGGGTATGCCGCTAGCGTCCACGCCGTCCACCTTCACCATGTTGTCCCCTCTCTTGACACGTGCCATGAATGGAGACAGGAAGGGGCTCAGACCCGCCCCGAAACCACCATCGTAGTCGATGTAGCGGTGCTCGATGAGGGACACCACACGGTCGACCTCCTCTGTGACTTGCGTCACCTCCACCTCACGCACCGACATGTGCGCAAAAAGGTTTGTTAGTCTGTGTGGGCAAATGAAAATTAAACAACGCTAAACGCGTGTATCAACAATCGTTTCGGGCATGTTTTACCTTGCGTCGTTGGAAGAAACGGTTGAGGGAGTTCAACTCCCCCAAAATGTCTGCCAGGAAATACAGACAGAAGTGGAATTTCAGGGTCTTCACAACCGAGGCGATCTTGTGCTTGTACTCCATGAAGAGCACGATTGCCGACCCCAAAATCTTGACAAGCCGGTTGACCGCATCGGCACGGGAGAGCCAACGCACGTCGAACAGTCCCTGGTGCTCGAGGTTGGTGCTGTGGATCACGATCTGGAGCTCTTTGAACCGCTCGTACCACGGCGTGGATCTCCCCACGATCTCGCCCACTGCACGGATGACCTTGTCTACCATCCGAAAATCTTGGAACTGCTCGGCTTCGGCCGTCTCCTTCACAGCAAGTGCTTCGCTGCAAGCAATAGTGGGGTGAGCAGATAAGGATTGTTAAATTACTTTAACGATCGACTAACGTAAAACCGGTCATTTAAAATTATCAGCCACGACACAAGTACCGATGCGCAATGCAGTGGCAGCCGACGAGGTGGGGGACGTCGACGCGCAGTGGACAGTTGCGGCTTGCGTACGTGGCCTCTGAGGCCA